AAAAAAAAAAGAGAGAGAGAAAAACAAAAAGAAAAAAAACGAAAAACCCGTGAGGAAGTGGGGATACGAAGTTGAATATCTCGAGAGACGAAAAAAAGAAAGAAAAGAGGAAGAAGAAGAAGAGGAAGAAGAAGAAGAAGAAATGGAGAAACGAACGATGGCACCACTTTGTACCATTTTTTTTTTTTTTTTTTTTTTTCTTTCCTTTAGGCGTCATGACCTCTTCTTTGCAGTTTTTTATTATTCTTTACAGTCCTCTCACATTTTATTCTGTAATGCGCTGCCTACCGCCGCTGCCTTCTACCACTTCTGCGACTGGCAACTATATTCTAACGGCCGCTGAACCGACCGAGCGAGACATGTCTTTTTTAATCGATTTTTTATAAAGATATATATATATATATAAATATATCAAAAATATATATATATATATCACACTTATTTTCGCCGAACGCGAATCGCTAGCGCCCGGTCATCTCGCTGCATTCTACTTTGTATGAAATAACAACAAGGCAGATTGTTCACCGATCCCTCGTGCACCAGAGAGCGTATCTGTTCTTTTCTTTTCTATTTTTTTCTTTTTTTTTTCTTTTTTTTTTTTTTTTTTTGGTTTCTCAAATTCGACGCGTCTGAGTTTCGGACGATTTGATGAAAGTTTCACGATCGCTTTCGCTCGTTTTTTTTTTTTTTTTTTATTTTTAATCTTCTGTCTTTGAATTTGAAGAACCAACGGCAAGACGTGTTGCTCTTGCCGAGGTGATCGTCTCTGTGTGCATCGAGGGGATCACATGCCTGAGGATATACTAACAGAATTGAAGCTTGAATTTTTACGTACTCACGAGGAGTGCACGAAAGAGTAAGGAACTCGAGACAACAGCGATCGAACTTTAAGTCGAGTTATTTTTATGGAAATTGATTTGAGCGAGTCTGGTGGCTCGTTATTTTCCAACAACCCTCTTTGAATACGTCAGAGAGACTTCCCTACGTTTCGCCGAATGAATCGAAAACTTGCCACCTTGGAAATTTCCAAAATGAACTTCCCAACGTATCGACTTTCCCATACCTTTGTATATATACAGACAGGTATATTTACATATCATTTGATACAATAGTTGATCAGAATTCGAGCCAACAGAAAAACGAGCCACGTTTTCCCCCCTGTCCCACGCTTTCTTTTCGATCCTTCGATAATGGGATTTTATTTTGGAAATACGTATCTTCGTCGAGTATTAACTTTTGCCCCGCTGGGCAACGAAACGAAACGAAGGGAACTCAAAGGGAGAACGCCTTCTTTTTTTCTTCTTCTTCTTCTTCTTCTTTTCCTTTTCTCGTTGTTTCTCTCCTTCTGGTCAACCAACTAATTAATTCTAATAAAAGTGGCCCAAGTTCGATCGCCTGAAATTCGTCCCGCCTCTTTCGCGTGCGCCCACTTGTAATCTTGTAAATATAATGTAAATATGCATAGATGTGTATTGTACGGTGTACGGGGGCGCTTGGTACACACATATTTTTCTAATCAATGGTGGATGGCAGGTGCCGGCCATCTCGCTAGCTTACGAGGCACCGGAGTCGGACATTATGAAACGGCAGCCCCGCGATCCTTACAGAGACAATCTTGTCAACCGAAGGTGGGTCTCCCAACTACCCACCAGAGAAACCAATACTATACTTAGCGAAAAATCCATGCACTCATAAAATAACCCTGCAGCTACAGAACACGTGAACACACGAACACACAACATACATGCAACGTAACAGAGACATGAATATACGCACGGGGTGGGTTGGACGGTCAAATCTTTGCTGGTGACTGTTTCGAGAGACTTGGACTCCGTTTCCCTCTTTCTTCTTCTTTTTTTTTTTTTTCTTTTCTTTTTCTGAAGACTGAGAACCTTCCGATAAGAATTTTGTCCCGATGAGCACAGAGAAGAGCTTCTTAGGATTTCTCGACGAAGTCAACGGTGTTCGAGATAAATAGTCCTTCTGACGTTTGGAGATGTATCGTGAAATTAACCGTTTCGGTACGAGCGCCGGATATATCCATCAGATGACTTGTGTGTACTTATATAATTTTAGTGTTACTTGTATAATTAACAGAATTTAATATAAACGTCTTTTAATATTAGAACTAACGACATTTGTTAGGAGAAACATTGTTTTATTAAGCACAGTTCTTATTTAACGCTAAGGAAAATCTCTCGCGCTCTCGTACAGCGGGTGTACCGAAAGGGTGAAAAAAGAAAGAGTCTAACGTTGAGTAAAGTCACTTTCTTGAGTGAATCTCACTCGCATTCAACGCACACACGGTTTGTTATAAATTGAAATTAAACTTTTTGTTCAAAGTATCAAACTCTCGAACGTCTCTGACGAATACGTACTTCGAAACACACGAAGCTTACGTCCCCGTATCAATCAACCAGCAAAACTTTCTTCTCGTGACAAAATCGTTTTCAATCGATATTATCGATATATACATATATTTAACGACGCGAGATTCGAAACTTATATTTGGCCTATCCACACGCCACCCACACTTGAACGCGTACGTATGCGTGCACGCATAGGTACGCGGCGAACACGAGAACACATGATTGTTACACATCATTGACAGAGTGTCTACTGAAATGTCGGAGTCGTACGTTTTGTTTTCTGAACTACAGATCTCTCATTGTCTCGATGGTCACTCGCTTGATCTTTTATTTTGTTACTGCACGCGAACAAATGATGAAGTGTTCTTTTTATATCGTATATATATATATATATATTTATTGTGTGCACTTTCGTCTGCACCTCCGTTCAGAGGGAAACCGACCCGGTGAGAAACACGCTTGAGAAAATTCACACGAGCAAGTTTTAAAAAGAAAAAAAAAAAAAAAAAGTAAAAGTTCCGTCCACGGTGAAATGAAAACGCGTGCACAGTGAAAATTCTTCGAGAGATTTGTCGGAAAGTAATCGAGTAAAAGGAAAAAAAAAAAAAAAAAAAAAAAAAACAATTCGTCGTCGGAAGAAACGAGAACGAAAAGAAGAAGAGAGCTGTGTTAAAAGAAAAGAAAAAAGAAAAAAAGAGAAAGAGTCTCGGTTGACACTCTACAAAGCCACGACGACAAAGGCTTTCGAGAAACACAAAAATCTTCTAGGACAAATTAGTTGATTAGTGATTAGCACAAGCAAGTAACTCCTGCGTAACCTAGGAACAATTACAGTGTTGGGAATGCCGAATGCTTTTAGCCACATTTAGAGAAAAAAGATTCGGTCAAACGAAACTAACTGCCGATTGCGCCTTAATTAAAACGACACTCGTGGTGTCCAGCTTTTCTTTCCTCTTTTTTTTTCCTTTTTTTTTTCTTCACAAACAATTTATACGTTTGCGTTTCTTTTTTTTTTTTTTTTTTTTTTTTCCCTTTTCGTAGCCGTTGCACTGCGTATGTGTGCAATACACGTGTGCTGAGGCTGAAACTTAGAGAGTTATCGTCACTAAACAAGTCCAATGCCAATTGCCAAAAATAGCAAAAGGGAGAAGAAAAAAAAAAAAAAATAGATTAGTATAGAAGAAGCTGGCGAAAGTAAAAAAATAAACGCTGTTGAAAGTTCGAGAGGGGAAAAAAGAAAAAAGAGTGAGCAAAACCAAGCTGAGCTGTGCTTTCTGCGATCTGTAGGAAAAAAAAAAGTCTGTAATCTAACGAGTCTAAGCGATAGCGATAGAGAGAGAAAAAAAAAAAAATAAACAAATAAATAATAATAATCAGAGCACGGCCTGAACAACGGTCAGAAAGCAAATTAACCATCCGATTTTACGCTGCTTGTTTAAAAAAAAAGAGGCTGAATTGACTATTATTGAAAATAATAACACGAACGAGAGATAGTGGGTCACTAACAGCTTTGTTGAATTTATTATTCTGATAGCCTTCGACGCCGCGCACCTTTCTGCCCGCTCTGTTTTCTATCCTTATATTCTTGGCCGACGAGTATTCTCTCGCTCGCCTGCCTCTTTACACGCGAAAAATCCGAATTGATTTACGAAAACTCTATATATTTTTGTATATATTTAACGCCATGACTTTTCGTTCGTTTCCTTTATTTGATCTGCAACGCCTGGACTTAAGCTAATTGACTGATGATAATGCGTGACACGCCGCCTGTTTTGCATGGGCATGATGTTATTTATTGCGGGGTTGGTCGTCCGTGGAAATTCAACTCGAGTTCGAAGATGAGTACTCTTTGAACTCTTGCAACAGTTCACGGAGGAAATTTCAACGTTTTCATTTCTGTCAAACCGAAGTTAAGATACAATCGAAGTAATTGATAGAAATCATATAATTGCAGTCGTTATATAACATGTTGATGTAATTAAAATTGAAATCATTTCGTCGGCCCGAACGATTCCCAAAGCTTGTGTCCGAAATGAAAACGAAAATCACTCGTCGTCGGATTAAAATAATTAGAAAACGTTCAGAAGGGACGACCATTCACCAGCAGTGAAGCTCCACGACGAAATCAACACACACGAATGCTAATGAAGAGTTGCTTCGATAACGTCGAATCTCACGGTCTCCAGCAAGCTGACTCTTTGCATGTGCACGTAGAGATCTGCATGTAGAAAGCTCGATTATACATTATTTTGTTCGAACATTGTACACCGTGAGGCTTGACGATGAATTGATTAAGAAAGTGAAATGTGTGCGTGCGTGTGTGTGTGCGTGTGTGTGTGTGTCTTTGTGCTTGCGCTTTGTGTGGCATGCATCAATGTGAAGAACCGATCGTTACCGCCTGCGTTTCCGAGTCGGTAAGTAACTGGCATTTTCAAATCCTAGGTGAACCTACGGCTTCCGTATTAACACCACATTAGGCTGTTAGACGCGAACTTAGACGATTAGTGGCATACACGTACAGAGCTT